GCCCAGGGTACAGTTGGCCTTCTGGGCTGCCAGTGCACTGACGGCTCATATCTAGCTTTTCATCCATCAGTACCCCAACATGTACGATATGTTCAAGAGTGAAAAATAAAAGCAATGCACTGGCTCGCACAGGCAGCATCCATAGCCCATTTGCCATGATAAGTAATTGATAATTCTGCCTCTCCTAACTTTCTGGTAGTGCAGATGTTTGGATACTTCTAAGAAAGCCCAAATGTGCAATCATGGCCATCAAAGCAGGCTTCTGCATTTCCTGAAAGCACAGTTAAGGATTTAGGTAAACACATACACATACATAAAAGGAATAATAACCAGTCCTTATGTACCTACAGTAGCAGAAGGCAGGATGCTGTGACCGAGCAGATCCTTCCCCATCCTGCACTGCTGCTGTTGAAGGAGCAGTGCGGGCACTGGTCCTTACACAGTATTGCAGATTTAAGCAGAGGTGGAGATGCAGCTGGGAGATAAAGTATGTCCAACTGGAAGCCTAACAGGACATTAACAAACTTGTAAGTGACAGGCTAAAGAGGTTGTGTGCCCAGGCTCTTCCTGTAGCTTGAGGGCTCCCACGTGATGGCCCAACCTCAGCTGGTGCAAACCAAATTTTCTTGGCTGCCTCTGCCAGAGCTACATCAACTTACTCTAGTCAAGGGCCAACGTGCACAGCTCTGGGACATTGCTGACCTGCCAGCAGCTGCGTAGAAACTTCATTCTGGAGAAAAACAAAACAAAACAAACAAGCAAACAAAAACAACAGGGGAAAAAATACACTCTGAAGAAGGACAGCCAGGAACAAGGCAGGTGTAGGAGAAATGCCTCTCTGTTCTGAAATAGCCTAGAAAAGGGGGAACTGCAGAAACTCCCTTCATGGGACATCAGCATCCCACCATAACACACATGAACTGCAGCACTCAGGATCACAAGGAAACTCATTTGTCCCGGCCATTCCAGACCTGGTTTGGTTACACATCATCTCCCCAGCGCAGGATCTCCTAACAACCGAACAAAAATATTTTGCATTTTTCCCACCCCTTTTCCTTCCCCCTTGGGGCCTAGTTCAAAGCTTGTTTATGTCATTCTGGCAGCACAATATGATTTTAGGCAGATAGAAACAGCCTATTAAGAGATACACCCCGCGCAGGGCATCTTGCTGGCACTGGAAAGTTGGCAGTGCAAAACATTTGCAGTTCCCTGCCCCCAAGTGAGCTCAGGGATCAAATGGCAAAAGAAAGCATCATGCTGGAACAAGACAGACATGCTGCAAGACAGCACCAAGGGACACGAGTCCCTCCGCAGCTATGTTCACTGGCGGTAAACTTTTCTTCTCACCACACAAGCCTTTCGCCTCCCAAATTTCACAAGGACATACCACCTTCCAGCAGCTGTTGTGAATTTGGCAATTGCTCTCCAAGAGCGTTTCATTTCCACAGTGGGGTGAAAGAGAATCCAGAGGTTTGCCAACATCTGTAAAACAAGTAACTCCCAGCCCAGCAGCAATCCCGAAGTCCAGCCCTTTGGAGGACCGGAGATGGAGACCACGAAGCCCTACACCACAGCCAGGCGCTCCTTGCCGAAGGAGAAGCAGCAACTCATCAGTCACTCCTCTTACAGCCTCCTGGCTGCAGATTATTCAGATAAAACCCAGAGTTCCAGGGATAATTAACTATTTTCACAGTATTACACAGTCATCACGTACGCTGCAATGAGGGTGTTCCCTAGATCAGGCTTTACCCCTCATGGAAAAGCTGTTCTTAGGGGAATCTGCAAAACTGGGCTGCTGGTCAGGGATGCTGGATCTAGATGTGTTTTACTCTAGCTAAACACAGCACAATGTTTTCCCACCTAAAAACGCTGCTGCCCTACTCTAGAAAATCTCTCCCTCCTACTCTTTCACAATTCTCGGCATGACAACAGTTACGCAAGAACAACTCTATAGGCACATGAAATGCTTATAGCTCTTAAGTGAGACTTTCCCCATTATAACACCCTCATCAGAGCACAGCTCCAAATCCTCACAGCTGCCAGGCTTCGAGACACACCAAACCCCAGCTCTGCACCTCGGTCCCTTCTCTCCATCACACCTTTGCCCTGCTAGAGACCTACAAGACAAAACATGATGCACAAGCAAGCAGGGGGGCTGCTTCCACACATACGTGCTGCTGTCACCCTGGCCAGCCAGGCAGATATTTCTCCCTGTCTGGCCCACTAATTCAAATCTTGGCAGAAAAAGGGGAGCCAATGGCCCTGACAGGCTGTCAGTGATTTCTACCTCCTAGTAACTTAATACAGCACACTACCCTTCTTAAAACGGCAGCAGGAGGATCTTCTAGGGCCCTGGCATCTTAGTAAGACATTAACAAGATTGCTGGGCATCAAACAAGACTGCAGACTTTCCTTCAGAGCAGTGCCAGGCTCCAATTTACGACACAGATTTGCTCCTTGTTCCAACTCGGCCATCCATCTCTGACACCAATCACCATCGCCCTCAAAACGTAACGCTCCTTACTACGACAGGCACTCAGTGAACAAATGAGCCCAAGGGCACAGCACCAGGAGAAAAATTGTACCTATATGAATGACAAGAAGTAGTAGCACACAGTTAAAAATCCTACAGGCAAGACATTCAAAGGGGCCATCTGAGTCCCACTCGCTGCATCCTTATCAGCCGAGTACCACTCTGGTTCAATTGCCTTTTGCCTGCCATTGCCAAGAAGTGAGTTCTTGAGAGGCAAAGTCACAGTGACTTGCAGTGATCAAAATCACTGCAGATAGATACAACCCCAACAGCAGCAGCCACGCCATGAGAGGTCAGATCCTAACGGCAGCGAGACTCTTGGAGACGAATGTGCTATGGTAAAAACACCCAGTCTTTAACTGTGAACACCTAACACATAAAGATATTAGGCCAAATAAATATAGCTGGGATCCTGCTCTGACGTTTGCTAGTCTTGACAGCCTGGCAAGGTGTAGAAACTACAAGCTGAGAAGCCCTGCAGGAGAGAGGCCCGGGGCACTGGAAAATCCAATTTCCACAACTGCACCCTCACCCAGCAGGAGCCCAGCAGCTCCGGAGGGTGCAGCAAGAGAGGAGAGGATGCTTGGGGTCCAACTCCCAGAGTGACCTTGAGGAAATCCCACAGCCTGTCCACTTTTCCACGCGCCCCATCCACGGGAAGGAAGAGCACAATAACCTTGACCTACCTCAAAGAGGCGCAGATCTGGCTTAGGAGAGCCTGGAAGGAGCTCTACATGCAGGACCCTGCCCTGAGACCAGAGGCTACAATCCTACAAATCACTCCCGAAATCAGAAGCCCTGGAGAAACGCGCAAATCGCTTTTGATATTAAAACCAGCAGCTCCGAGGCAGTAAAGGGCACGGCTGAAACCGCACACGTGTCACCCGCAATTTCCCCGGCGTGGGCAGGGAGAGGAAGGGCGACGCTGCTACAGCCCCCAACGCCCCGCAAGGGCAACCCCAGCACCGCGGGGAGCACGGGGCCATCTCCCCCAGGCTCGGCTTTGACACGCGGGCTCCTGCACCTCCGGCCTCAAATTTGGGCAGAGGGACTCCCACGCCCTGGGATGAGGGGAGGGAGGGGGGACCGGCACGTCCCAGGGTGAGGGGAGCAGGTGGGGGGCCAGGAGGGGTTACAACCCCTGGGGTGAGGGGGGGAAAGTGGGGGACCAGGGGAACCTGCATCCCCCGAGGTGAGGGGGGTACATGGGGGGCCAGGGGAGCCCGCCGCCCCCAGGGGGAG